GACGCCACGGCACTCACACTACCTGGGCAACAAAGCGAGACTCTGTGCTCAAAAAAAAAAAAAAAATTTTAACTTGGTGTTGGTGTGCATCTGTAGTCCCAGCTACTCAGGAGGCTGAGCCAGGAGGGGCACTTGAGCCCAGGAGTTTGAGGTTGCTGTGAGCTAGACTGATGCCACAGCACTTTAGCCTAGGCAACAGAATAAGACTCTGTCTCAAAAAAAAAATAAAGAAAATCCATCAACAAACCCACAGATATATGGATACTTGATATATGTCAAAGTTGATACTTCAGTGCAGTGGGAAAATTATGATCTTTCCAATAATGCTGCAAATTCAAATTAATGTCCACATGGGAAAAATATAGTTCATCCCTACTTATACCATACCCTCAAATTAATTCCAGATGGCTTTTTAATCTGTGAAAAGTAAAACAAGAAATTTTTAGAACAAGACATAAGAGGATATCTTTAAAATGCTGGAGTAGGGGGGAGTGGGTGGGTCCGGCCACAGAAATAAAAAATTAAATAAAATAAAATAAAATGTTACATTAGGCAAATATTTCTTAAACAGGACACAAAAAGCACTAACGATATAAAAAAAGAAAAATGCATTATATTAAGAACTTCTATTCATCAAAATACATCATTAGAAGAGCAAAAAGTCGAGAATGCAGGGGGAAGGATATTTTAGTATGTACATCCACAAAAGATTTCTATCGAGTGTCCTTTGGCTTGGAAGGAAGAAGCAGCCAGATAATCCAATAGAAAAATGTACAAAAAAGTAAAACAGGTCCTGCACAAAAGAGAATACCAAAAAGCCAAAAACAAACAAACAAAAAACCAAAACACAAAAACCCTGTGAATGGGTAATCAGCTGTGTTAGTCATTAGGGAAATGTAACTTTTTTTCCCAGAGTTTTGCTCTGTAGCTTAGGCTAGAGTGAGTGCCGTGGCATAAGCCTAGCTCACAGCAACCTCAAACTCCTTGGTTCAAGCAATCCTCCTGCCTCAGCCTCCTGAGTAGCTGGGAATACACTCTCGAACCACCACTCCAGGCTAATTTTTTCCATTTCTAGTAGAGACAGGGGTCTTGCTCTTGCTCAGGCTGGTCTCAAACTCCTGAGCTCAAGCAATCTGCCCACCTCGGCCTCCCAGAGTGCTAGGATTGCAGGCATGAGCCACTGCACCTGGCAGGGAAATGCAAATTTAAACCACAGGTAATTTCATTATGCACCCTCCAAGCATAGCTAAATTGCCCAGGCCGGTCTCAAATTCCTAGCCTCCAGTGATCCTCCGCATAGGAAGGTAAGATGCTTTGAGGGTGTATTTCCAGGTGTTAGATGTGCGCAGGTTCCTTCAATTCGATTTACCAACAAATATGGTGTGTGCGGGTTACTCGTCACAGGGTCGACTATGCCTGGCGTAAGAATATATGACCTGGGCGGTGGTGGCTTATGGCGGCGAATTTGCGCGAGCACTGTCGTGTGGGGAGAAAGGAGTTGCCTTGAGGCCAGAGTTCGGAGCCGAGCGAAGTGGCAACCGATGTAGACCCCCCATCGTCTAGCGCCAAAAAAATTTTTTTTATAATTGGTTTTAATTTTTTTTAATTATTTTTTTTTAAAATATTAGGCTGTGATGGTAGGTGCACCTGAGTCCCAGCTTGACTTGGGAGGCCGGACCCCCCCCCCTCCCCGCCGCTTGGAGCCCGCAGGCCGGGCGCAAGGATGGCGGGTGGCCTCATGATCGCCATTACCACGACACATACGAACCTGGCAACCACTAGTGAGATCTCGTCTCGTCAAAAAAATTTTTTAAATTTTACTTTGTGGCCGGTTGGCGCGGCGCCCGGTGGCTCCGCCTGTGACGAGCTCTCCCTGGTAAGGCCGAGCGGCGCGGACTGTTCGGAGGCCGCGGGAAACTGTAGCCTGCCAAGAGGCCCGCGCGCGGCGGCGGGCGGACTATAAATGGAAAGCAGGTGACCGTGAAGTGTGGGCGACTGCGCGGACGGCCCCTTAATACGTCTGATAATATTGTATATAAAAAATTAGCCGGGCATGGGTGGCGCATGCCTGTTAAGTCCCAGCTACTCGCGGGAGCTGAGCAGAAGGTCACTCGAGCCCCCAGGAGTTTGAGGTTGCTGTGAGCTAGCGCTTGCACCGCACGGGCACCACACCTAGGCCTGGGCAACAAGCTGAGACTTGTCTCATAAAAAAAAAAAAAAAATTTTAACTTGGTGTGGGTGGTGGTGCATCTGTTAGTCCCGCTACCAGGCAGGCCTGAGCCCAGAGGGGCAGCTTGAGCCAGGAGTGCGCCGGCGGTTGGCTTTGGAAGCTAGACTGATGCCACAGCACTTTAGCCTAGGCCCAACAGAATAAGACTCTGGTCTCAAAAAATAAATGAAAACTCCATCAAAACCCACAGCGTTATTGGATAGCGGTTGATATATGTCAAAGTGATATTCAGTGCAGTGGGAAAATTATGATCTTTCCAATAATGCTGCAAATTCAAATTAATGTCCACATGGGAAAAATATAGTTCATCCCTACTTATACCATACCTCAAATTGAATTCAGCAGGTTTTATAATCTGTGAAAAGTTAAAACAGAATTTTAGAACAGACATTAAGAGAGATATCTTTAAATGCTGGAGTAGGGGAGTGGGGGGTCCGGCCACAGAAATAAGAAAATTAAAAATAAAATAAGTCCCAGTGGTCTTAATCCCATCAGAAGAAGAATGAATGAAATACCCAGTATCACTTACCTAAGCATATACAATCTTACACAAATAATACCCTATGTTTTTGAAGGTAATAGATACATGTAAAAAGCATTTCCATAGACCTGGGAAGGTTCAGGGATACATAATAAGCAGAAAATAGAGGATATTCTTAAAAACGGAGCTGGAGGTTCAAAACTGGGAGTGGACAAAAAACTTAATACATCCATAATGTCCTGATTTTATTTTTAGAACCCCTGCTATGTAATTGAAAATGAATAAGCCAGGTGCGGTGGCACGAGCCTGCAGTCCCAGCTACTCAGGGATCGTTCCAGTCCAGGAGACAGTCTCTAAAAACAAAGGAAGCCAAAACCGGGAGAGGCAATATATTAGTCTCCTATGGCTACTAGAACAAATCTCCTCAAATTTAGTGGTTTAAAACAACACAAATTTATTATCTTACAGTTCGGGAGGTCAGAAGTCTGAAATATAAGCACTAGGAAGGTAAGGGAGTGCTTAAATTTCAGTGGTTAGATTCCAGTTTCTTCATTCATTTACCCAACAAATATTTGTGCTTACTCAGTCACTATGCTGAGCGGTAAGAATAAAATATGACCTGGGTGTGGTGGCTCATGCCTAATATCCCAGCACTTTGGGAGGAAAAGGCAGGATTGCTTGAGCCCAGAAGTTCAAGACCAGCATGGGCAACATAGCAAGACCCCCATCTCTACAAAAAAAATTTTTTTTTAATTAGGTTTTAATTTTTTTTAATTAATTTTTTTAAAAAATTAGGCGTGATGGTGTGCACCTGTAGTCCCAGCTACTTGGGAGGCCGAGACAGGAGGATCCCTTAAAGCCAGGCATTCAAGATGCAGTGAGCTATGATCATTACCACTACACTACAACCTGGGCAACACAGTGAGACCTGGTCTCTAAAAAAAAATTTTTAAATTTTAACTTGGTGTGGTGGTGTGTATCTGTAGTCCCAGCTACTCAGGAAGCTGAGCCAGGAGGGGCACTTGAGCCCAGGAGTTTGAGGTTGCTGTGAGCTAGACTGATGCCACAGCACTTTAGCCT